TCGATCGCCCATTACTAGGCACCACCCACCCCTCCCCACTCCAATCCGCAAATTCCCCTCCCGAACTGTGATTAAAATCGAGTCCTTGACGAAAATAAGCATTTTTACGACACATTTAACTGAAAAATCAATAGTTTTACGATCAATTTAGCTGAGTGAAATGACATTTTAACGATTGTGTTTATGTAATAAAATCTTCGACACTTCTACCACCACGGAAAACAAAAGACAATCGATGTAGACTTGGACGCCGATTAACGGCGGAAATCCGGCCTCGGCTCACTAGATCGCATCAAAGACGCCGCAAAACGGCCCGTCAAAGGGCCGTCAACGGCCCGCGCGCACGCAATCATTTAACAAATTAACCCGTTAATCCGCCCCCCACCCCCCGGACTTGTATACATAACAATTAACTTGTCAATCGAGATAATTAGCGATGGAAACAAATGAGCGTCGGGCGTTGAGCGTCGATTTCCGCAGTAGGCGATGGAAATCAACAAACAAGGAAAAACAAACGAAAATCATTACTTACCTCAAAGCTGGCGCTACATAATAAATAAAAGGCGACAGGAAGGGTTTGGAGGGGCCCCCACGAGTGAAATTAACACTGATTTGGGGAGTGAGACACCACAGAGACCGGTTTGAGCACTTGGGGCACGGTTTTAGCCCCCCGAAAACGGTAAATTGCACTGGAAATAGCCGATAATAGTAGTATCGATTCAGGCAGCCATTTTAACTTGGCCTTCCTTGATTTGTTCATTCACAAGTGACGCAAGTGGCGACATCTGCTCAAAATAATTAACATTTTATTTAGCCTTAATGATAATTATCACTTGCACGATTACGAACCCTTGACGTAGTAATCACCCGGCAAACTTAACAATTTTTTTTGTTAAATTTGTACAAGTCAGGTATTGCAGTCTCCTGTAATGACATTTAGTGACACTCCACTAGATGGCTTATGTCAAGTGTCAAAGTGACAAGTGATGTAAATAAATACTTAATATTTATTATTAATATTTTATTCGGTGTTATTTGCGTGAGAATGGACGACTTGAAGCACAAAATTCTCGGCCTGATCAATAAACAAGTAAGTGGTGGGTGTGGTGTTAGCCCCCTTAAAGCCAGTTTCAGGGGCCTAAAATCCCATCGATGGGGTTCTCCGATGCTAATTATCATTTCCCCCAAGTGGAGAACTTGTCAATTAATAGTAAGACAGTTGCTGAGATAAATAGGCCCTCAGATCAGGAAATTCTTGAAAGTATTGAAGCGGCCTATTTTTCGATCCGGGAGGATTTTGACATTTGCCGGTTTGAATTGGGGGTGAATTTGAACCCCTTTGAGCCACCAGGAATAATCCAGAATTTGTAGAAATTGCCCCAAACCCTTGACTGTGACCAAATTCAACGCGACTTTAAAACCCTCAAACAGCAACATCAAGTTGTCTCAAAAAAAGTCCTCCAATTGATTCTGGAGCACCAAAGTGGCTGTAATCTTGAATTTGATAAAGTTTTAGAAATTTTAGAACAAGTTAAGGATACACTTCAAGAGTGCAAAACGAGTCGGAGACACTTGAAAGTGGCCGCGGACCAGTTTAGAGCCTCTCTTGAGTTGCTCGCAAACTACCGTAAACGCAAAATCGCACAAAATCTGCTAAATAATCTCAAAATGATCAAATATTTAGTAAGTGAGGTTATGTCACGAGTGACATTTGAGGTTATGTTTCCAGCGGTGTTATGATCAACGATTACAAGGGCTTTTACACGACGAGGACTATGCGGGGGCTATCATTGAACTCAAAAAGTGTCACAAAATCGCGACAAAGTACCGTCATTTCAGTTGCGTGGCTGCTCTAACCTACAAATTGCAAGAAACTTTGGAGAGTACTGATGGACAACTTGATCGAGTTTTGGCTCAGGTTTTTGATATTTAGTTACTTTTTGGGTGTCATTTGATCGGTTTTAGACTTGTTATCATTTTGATGGTGAGCGGTACCAGAAATTACTCCTCGCTTATCACCTACTTGACAAGTCAGAAATTTCAATTATTGATAATTTGCATGTCCATTATATCACTGCGATTTACAATACGTCGCTAAATGTGGTCCATTCATACGTCACTTCGGCTGAAATACTCGAAAACCCCGAGACGAGCGGGAAAAATCCCTATAAAACACTTTGTCAAGTGAGTGAGCTAATTTCCAAGATTTGTAAAAGAAAGGTTGTCTCGTAACTTTGCACCAATCACGTGTGCGCATTATTCGCGCGAATTGACGTCACTGGAATGACGTTTATAATTTAATTAGTTTATAATTTTTTTTATATTTTTTTTACTTTATCAGAATTTTTTTTGTCTATTTGTCGTATAGCACTGATCTTTTTTGTATATGATAGAAAATTAAATTTTCTTCCCAACGGTACCAAATATAAGAGGTTATTACCAATAAGTCCGGAGTTATTTGCAATAGAACGCTCCGGGTACCAAAAATCGACCAAAAAAATTTTTGATTCTTATAAAAAACTAGTACCACATGTAAAATTAACCGGAGAATTCGCCTGTACAAACCGTTTTGACCTAGGACTTATAGTTTTTGAGAAATTATTTTTTTATGAAAAAAATTAAAAATGGCTCTGAACCCGGAACCATAACCCGGAGCGACTTCCGGTTTGCGCCAATAAATAGATAATTTCAAGCTACTTTTAATGTTTTTTAGCTCTTTGCTCTAAATCTTATAGTTTCGTAGAAAAACGCGATTAAAGTTTCACAATTTTGAAAATTTTGACTTTTTGAACGGCGATTACGGCCAAACTATTAGACTTAGAGCAATCAGTCCAACTCCATCGTAATC